ATATATATATATATATATATATATATATGTATGTATATATTTATAATTCATCCATATTGAATATTAACATAAGAAGCCTATTACTGCACCACCCCCACCCCCTATAAAAATTCCCTTTAGTCCACTACTGTCCCTCACAAATTCTAAAGAAAGTCATCTCCCATAGCCCATAGATATCAATTTACTGCACCTGTGTCAGAATCATTTCACTAGAACAGTGGTTCTTAACCAGGGATAAAAGTACCACCCCCAGCCCTTAGAAGTGGAAGAAAAGAAAATTATATTTGCTGCCATTGCTAGTTTGTTGCTCTTGTTATTTTTAAATTATTTTTTTTTAAAAATCATTTTTATGCATTTTGATTTGCAGCAGGAAATGTTTTTTTCTGGTGAATTTCGTTGGCGTATTACTTGTTTTTGTAATTTTTTCCCTTGCTTATAAAAAGTTAATCAAAGAAATAAAACTACGGAACTAAATTATTTAATTATTTTTATATTTCTAATTTTATTACAACATAATTTATACGGTTTGGGGCTGGGGTAGGGGGGGAGGGGGTTAAAACGGAGTGGGCCTGCAGCGCTGCTAATTCTATGCCTCTCGTGTCCACATTTAGCCATAAATTCTCAAGGCTGTCATTGTGACTACATCCCGATTCTCCTCTTCCGTTGCATACTGTAACTTGATCTAAGGCAATTTCTCGGACATACCTGTCTCAGCGATCGTAGTTAAAAAATAAAATAATTTTTGTATAAAAGATTAATATTAAAAATGTCTGTAATTTAATGTTATTAAGTGCAATTCTTTATTACAATATTCCCCTTTTCATGTGACGTCACATTGATTAAGCTGCCCCATCCCCCGGGCCCATCGTCACAAAAATCGGATTCCCCCCCCCCCCCCCCCAAAAAAAAAAAAAATTGAGACGCGTGAAGTCATTAAAGTATGGCCCCATCACGATAAATTTTTGTTCTTCAAAAGAACACCTCACAGAAGTTCCCAGATCTGTTTTTGGACACCCGTGGCGACAAAACAATTTAAAATGTCACCTTAACCTTATGATTTCCTATTGCTCAATCTGATCGCAAGTTTCACCCTTGCCACCCTCCCTCTCCCACCCCATTTTTTCATAAATCATACCCAAACGTGCCCAACGCTTCACTACGGAAGGCTACTGACCACTGACGTAGGCGCGTAGGCCTGGACGTGCTGATCGATCACAGATATTTTTTTAAGTAGGGATCGAAAGGCGAATTGTAGCAATATATTTTTTTACGTTTTACTGTGCTCAGTAATAATATATTTTTGTATTTTTTTTATATAAAAGATATAAAAAATTGTAATAAAATCCTATGCCCATGAGTATGAGCCTAGTAGTATTGACAGAATATTTATCAATAATCTTCATTTTTAGTATTTGATCGTCTTTAAGAAAAATCTGGCTGCAGGCTATATTTAGCTTTCCAGGAATTATTGAAACTGAAAAAAGCTAAAAAAAATTGGTCTGGGATTAATCCTCCTTGCACTGTTAACTTACAACTGCGACTGCGAGATTTACGATATTTACTAGTCACGTCATAAAGTCTTGAAGTAAGTTATCCTCAGACCAACATTGCCAATGGCAAGTAAAATATTTTAATTGACTGAGCCTTAATCTTAAATATTTTTTTTATTCATTGTCTAGTCATATGATTAATTTTATTAATAGAATAAATAATTAAAATGATTAGATTTAAGCCTACTTCAGAGAATGTGAAGTCTTCTCTACTGAAACTTAATTTCACTTAATTAATTGTCACGTAATTCTACAGTAGTTACAGTTACAGTACAGTTCAGTACAGCGCCTACTCACTCGGAGTCATTAGGCCTTGTCATTGAATGATTGAATGTTAACTAAATTAATTACTTATGGCATGGTACTTATACTACTTAGACTCTAAGACTAATACTACTAATAAGTTTAAATAAGTACTATGTCATGTCATTGCTGGATAAGCAAGGCAGCATTACAATAAAAATTTAAAATGTTGATAATAAAAAATCTAATTTAATTTATATTATGATAGAGTTAAGTCTATAATACTATAATCACCGATATTTATTTATAAAAAATACAAATTATTATATTAGATTAGCTTAAAACTTTGTTCATTTTAGTTTACTATCAGATTAGACCAGACTCATAATTAATTATAATTCAATTCAATTAATTACTTAGTTTACTTAAATATATATTTTTGAAGCTGATCAAATTCTTGTTAAATTTTATTTGTAAAATATTAGCCTAAGCCCAAATAAATATTTACAAATCACAAAAGCCAGCAACAATAATTCTTCTTACATCTTCTTACAGTTACACTGTCTAAACTGTAGTACACACAGGTACGGTGACCAGATTTTTCAGGGGTAACCTGGAACCTCCCCCCCCACCCCCACCCCCACGAAAAATTAATGAAAATTGACTGAAAGACACGGTTTCCTGAAGAACAAATTTATTAGTGTACATTATTTTTAGTATGCTGTATTTTATGGACATATTGGCATACCCACACCTTACATTGTGTTAATCAGGAGTTGCAGGTGAAATATTTGTGAACACTA